TATAGGGAATGTATTAGATTTTGTTTATTGGTATGACGTTTGTGTTCGGTATGAGTTGTTTGTATAGGGAATGTATTAGATTGTGTTTATTGGTATGACGTTTGTGTTCGGTATGAGTTGTTTGTATAGGGAATGTATTAGATTTTGTTTATTGGTATGACGTTTGTGTTCGGTATGAGTTGTTTGTATAGGGAATGTATTAGATTGTGTTTATTGGTATGACGTTTGTGTTCGGTATGAGTTGTTTGTATAGGGAATGTATTAGATTTTGTTTATTGGTATGACGTTTGTGTTCGGTATGAGTTGTTTGTATAGGGAATGTATTAGATTGTGTTTATTGGTATGACGTTTGTGTTCGGTATGAGTTGTTTGTATAGGGAATGTATTAGATTTTGTTTATTGGTATGACGTTTGTGTTCGGTATGAGTTGTTTGTATAGGGAATGTATTAGATTGTGTTTATTGGTATGACGTTTGTGTTCGGTATGAGTTGTTTGTATAGGGAATGTATTAGATTTTGTTTATTGGTATGACGTTTGTGTTCGGTATGAGTTGTTTGTATAGGGAATGTATTAGATTGTGTTTATTGGTATGACGTTTGTGTTCGGTATGAGTTGTTTGTATAGGGAATGTATTAGATTTTGTTTATTGGTATGACGTTTGTGTTCGGTATGAGTTGTTTGTATAGGGAATGTATTAGATTGTGTTTATTGGTATGACGTTTGTGTTCGGTATGAGTTGTTTGTATAGGGAATGTATTAGATTTTGTTTATTGGTATGACGTTTGTGTTCGGTATGAGTTGTTTGTATAGGGAATGTATTAGATTGTGTTTATTGGTATGACGTTTGTGTTCGGTATGAGTTGTTTGTATAGGGAATGTATTAGATTTTGTTTATTGGTATGACGTTTGTGTTCGGTATGAGTTGTTTGTATAGGGAATGTATTAGATTGTGTTTATTGGTATGACGTTTGTGTTCGGTATGAGTTGTTTGTATAGGGAATGTATTAGATTTTGTTTATTGGTATGACGTTTGTGTTCGGTATGAGTTGTTTGTATAGGGAATGTATTAGATTGTGTTTATTGGTATGACGTTTGTGTTCGGTATGAGTTGTTTGTATAGGGAATGTATTAGATTTTGTTTATTGGTATGACGTTTGTGTTCGGTATGAGTTGTTTGTATAGGGAATGTATTAGATTTTGTTTATTGGTATGACGTTTGTGTTCGGTATGAGTTGTTTGTATAGGGAATGTATTAGATTGTGTTTATTGGTATGACGTTTGTGTTCGGTATGAGTTGTTTGTATAGGGAATGTATTAGATTTTGTTTATTGGTATGACGTTTGTGTTCGGTATGAGTTGTTTGTATAGGGAATGTATTAGATTGTGTTTATTGGTATGACGTTTGTGTTCGGTATGAGTTGTTTGTATAGGGAATGTATTAGATTTTGTTTATTGGTATGACGTTTGTGTTCGGTATGAGTTGTTTGTATAGGGAATGTATTAGATTGTGTTTATTGGTATGACGTTTGTGTTCGGTATGAGTTGTTTGTATAGGGAATGTATTAGATTTTGTTTATTGGTATGACGTTTGTGTTCGGTATGAGTTGTTTGTATAGGGAATGTATTAGATTTTGTTTATTGGTATGACGTTTGTGTTCGGTATGAGTTGTTTGTATAGGGAATGTATTAGATTTTGTTTATTGGTATGACGTTTGTGTTCGGTATGAGTTGTTTGTATAGGGAATGTATTAGATTGTGTTTATTGGTATGACGTTTGTGTTCGGTATGAGTTGTTTGTATAGGGAATGTATTAGATTTTGTTTATTGGTATGACGTTTGTGTTCGGTATGAGTTGTTTGTATAGGGAATGTATTAGATTGTGTTTATTGGTATGACGTTTGTGTTCGGTATGAGTTGTTTGTATAGGGAATGTATTAGATTTTGTTTATTGGTATGACGTTTGTGTTCGGTATGAGTTGTTTGTATAGGGAATGTATTAGATTGTGTTTATTGGTATGACGTTTGTGTTCGGTATGAGTTGTTTGTATAGGGAATGTATTAGATTTTGTTTATTGGTATGACGTTTGTGTTCGGTATGAGTTGTTTGTATAGGGAATGTATTAGATTGTGTTTATTGGTATGACGTTTGTGTTCGGTATGAGTTGTTTGTATAGGGAATGTATTAGATTTTGTTTATTGGTATGACGTTTGTGTTCGGTATGAGTTGTTTGTATAGGGAATGTATTAGATTGTGTTTATTGGTATGACGTTTGTGTTCGGTATGAGTTGTTTGTATAGGGAATGTATTAGATTTTGTTTATTGGTATGACGTTTGTGTTCGGTATGAGTTGTTTGTATAGGGAATGTATTAGATTGTGTTTATTGGTATGACGTTTGTGTTCGGTATGAGTTGTTTGTATAGGGAATGTATTAGATTTTGTTTATTGGTATGACGTTTGTGTTCGGTATGAGTTGTTTGTATAGGGAATGTATTAGATTGTGTTTATTGGTATGACGTTTGTGTTCGGTATGAGTTGTTTGTATAGGGAATGTATTAGATTTTGTTTATTGGTATGACGTTTGTGTTCGGTATGAGTTGTTTGTATAGGGAATGTATTAGATTGTGTTTATTGGTATGACGTTTGTGTTCGGTATGAGTTGTTTGTATAGGGAATGTATTAGATTTTGTTTATTGGTATGACGTTTGTGTTCGGTATGAGTTGTTTGTATAGGGAATGTATTAGATTGTGTTTATTGGTATGACGTTTGTGTTCGGTATGAGTTGTTTGTATAGGGAATGTATTAGATTTTGTTTATTGGTATGACGTTTGTGTTCGGTATGAGTTGTTTGTATAGGGAATGTATTAGATTGTGTTTATTGGTATGACGTTTGTGTTCGGTATGAGTTGTTTGTATAGGGAATGTATTAGATTTTGTTTATTGGTATGACGTTTGTGTTCGGTATGAGTTGTTTGTATAGGGAATGTATTAGATTGTGTTTATTGGTATGACGTTTGTGTTCGGTATGAGTTGTTTGTATAGGGAATGTATTAGATTTTGTTTATTGGTATGACGTTTGTGTTCGGTATGAGTTGTTTGTATAGGGAATGTATTAGATTTTGTTTATTGGTATGACGTTTGTGTTCGGTATGAGTTGTTTGTATAGGGAATGTATTAGATTGTGTTTATTGGTATGACGTTTGTGTTCGGTATGAGTTGTTTGTATAGGGAATGTATTAGATTTTGTTTATTGGTATGACGTTTGTGTTCGGTATGAGTTGTTTGTATAGGGAATGTATTAGATTTTGTTTATTGGTATGACGTTTGTGTTCGGTATGAGTTGTTTGTATAGGGAATGTATTAGATTTTGTTTATTGGTATGACGTTTGTGTTCGGTATGAGTTGTTTGTATAGGGAATGTATTATATTTTGTTTATTGGTATGACGTTTGTGTTCTGTATGAGTTGTTTGTATAGGGAATGTATAAGATTGTGTTTATTGGTATGACGTTTGTGTTCTGTATGAGTTGTTTGTATAGGGAATGTATTAGATTTTGTTTATTTATTGTATATGTATTTGGTGTGAGCTGTTGGTATGAGGTATATATTAGGTATGTGTTATTGGTGTAAGGCATGTACTAGGTGTAAACTATTGGTGTGAATATGTGTATTAGGTTTGAACTATTGATATGAGGTACGTATTAGGTTTGTTTTATTTTATAAGGTATGTGTTATTTCTGTAAGAATTTTATTAGATATGAGTTATTGGTATGAGGTTTGCATTAGGTATGTTTGATTTGTATGATATATGTATTTGGTATGTTTTTTTGGTATGATGTATGTATTAGGTATGCTTCATTGGTATGATGTATATATTAGGTATGATTCATTGGTATGATGAATGTATTTTGTATGAGTTATTGGTATGAGGTATGTATTAGGTATGAGTTATTGGTATTAGGTATGAGTTATTGGTTTGAGTTATGTATTAGGTATGAGTTATTGGTATGAGGTATGCATTTTGTATGAGTTATTGGTATGAGGTATGTATTAGGTATGAGTAATTGGTATGAGGTATGTATTAGGTATGAGTTCTTGGTATGAGGTCTGTATTAGGTATGAGTTATTGGTATTAGGTATGAGTTATTGGTTTGAGTTATGTCTTAGGTATGAGTTATTGGTATGAGGTCTGCATTTTGTATGAGTTATTGGTATTAGGTATGAGTTATTGGTTTGAGTTATGTCTTAGGTATGAGTTATTGGTATGAGGTATGTATTTTGTATGAGTTATTGGTATGAGGATTGTATTAGGTATGAGTAATTGGTATGAGGTATGTATTAGGTACGAGTTATTGGTATGATGTATGTATTTTGTATGAGTTATTGGTATGAGGTATGTATTAGGTATGAGTTATTGGTATGATGTATGTATTAGGTACGAGTTATTGGTATGAGGTATGTATTAGGTATGAGTTATTGGTATGATGTATGTATTAGGTACGAGTTATTGGTATGAGGTATGTTTAATTCATTAGTAATTGGTATGAGGTATGTATTAGGTTTGTGTTATTTGTATGAGGTATGTATTAGGTATGAATTATTGGTATGAGGTATGTATTTTGTATGTTTTATTCATATCAGGTATGAGTTATGGGTATGAGATATGAGTTATGGGTATGAGATACGTATTAAATGTTTTATTTTGATAAGTTATGTATTATGTATTATTTTGGTTTGAAGTATGTTTTGTGTATGCGTATTGGTATAAAGTTTTTATTATTGATATCAGTTATTAGTTGCTAGTATTTGTTCCTTCTGTTGTATTTTTATATAGTTTTTTTGTTTTGATCATGTCCTCGTATATTTGATATGTAGTATTGGTTTTAATTTAATTTGAACTGTCCAGATTATCATATTGATGGCAAGCACTATAGCCTGTGTTAAAAACATATTTTAGAAGTATTCAGACAGACAATTTGATATATTACTCTGATTTACAGGACAAATCCTATTTTAAATAAGGAAGTACCTACTGTGACAGAGTTCGACAGGATCAGTGATACTGACAGGTTCGTATTTTATTTATTATATATCATATTGTTTTTGTGTTTCTGGAATACAATGTATACATACGTTGCATTTGTTAAATATAATGCTTTCATTTACGATTTCCACAATAACGATAACCCTTATATATATATATATGTATCTAACTATAACATCTGTATGACTAACCATAACTTTTGTATGTCTAACCATGACATCCTTATGATAACTACATAATCTGTATGTCAAACCATAGCATCTGTATGACTATCTATATAAATGTATGACTAACTATAACATATGTATGACTATCTAAAACATATGTATGTCTAACTATAGCATCTGTATGAATATCTATAACATCTGTATGACTAAATATAGCATCTGTATGACTATCTATAACATCTGTATGTCTAACCATAGCATCTGTATGACTAAATGTAACATATGTATGACTAACTATAACATATGTGTGTCTAACCATAGCATATGTATGACATACTATAGCATATATATGTCTAACCATAGCATTTGTATGACTATCTATAACTCATGTATGTCTAACCATAGCATATGTATGACTAACTATAGCATATGTATGTCTAACCATAGCATATGTATGACTATCTTTAACATCTGTATGTCTAACCATAAGATCTGTATGTCTAACTATAACATCTGTATGTCTAACTATAGCATCTGTATAACTATCTATAACATCTGTATGTCTAACCATAACATCTGTATGTCTAACCATAGCATATGTATAACTATCTATAACATCTGTATGTCTAACCATAGCATCTGTATGTCTAACTATAACATATGTATGTCTAACTATAACATATGTATGACCAACTGTAACATCTGTATGTCTAACTGTAATATTTGTATGTGTAACCATAGCATCTGTGTGGGCGTTTTTGAGAATTCTTATTTTTTTCTTTTACAATTTTCTTATTTTTATTATGCTGTTAAATGTTTAATATAACTCGCAGCCAAAACTCGCTCGACTCGAATGAAGTCGGTACGGAAGGCCTGGTTCCTGATTACCAGAGGACAGAGGAGAAGGAGGCGGTGATGGACATGTTCACGGAGGACTTCTACCAGCCCGACAGAGACATAGATCCTCTTCAGATGGTGCTATCAATGCACGAGATGGAAAGCAAAGAACGAACTGGTCTTATGGAAGAGATGGAAGAGGAAGAGGATGATAGAAACTCTCAATTCGATTTCGAAAACCCAGGCTTCCAACTGGAAACTACTGAGGTTTAGTGATGAATAGTAACTTCTAGTGTGAAACTGCATAATCAGATATCTTATACCGTGTGAAATAATCATTTTGTGATCGAGCAAACTGTTGTTTTAGATACTCATCTTTGGATTAAATGAAATCAATACATATTTGTGTTTAGGCTGGCGATACGCATGCACTTTAAAGTTTATTAGTGACTATCGACATACATTGATCAATACAAATATATCTCACACGCACGGGGAATACAAACTTCGCATTTGACATTTGCTGGCCGTGAAATTTTAAGAGTTCTCTCCCCTCTAATAACATTGGTTTTATCACTTACTGTTGTCATTTCTTGTGTTCTTTTGTTCCTTTAAGTGTGTCAAAAACGAATTCAGTAAGTTCAAATTTCCAATCTTGTGTATTTCTATGCGTGTCGTAAATGCTTGGATATTATTCAAATTTCCTTTCATTAAAGTTATTTGCTTGTATTTTCGTATATAATTCTTATCGTATAAAGATAGTCAGTGTGTACATCAACTATCATAAGAGCTAATGTTTAGGTAAGCGTTGTAGACAAATGCCTGTCATCACTCTACCAATTCATGTCTTAACATGTAACATGCTTCGTTAAGTATGGTCCTTTGCCTGACACATTGCCACTTCATGTGTGTAATAGGTAACATAATGTACTTCGTTAAGTGTGTTTTTTTGCCTGACACTTTATGACTGTACATGGTAACATACCCTGTCATACAATTTATATAGTGATACATGTCCGCTAACTAATGATGTCATCAGTTTATATGAAGCCTTCAATGCCGTTCTAAGTCTGTCAATATATGAAGCCTTATCAAGATAACATACAGCCTGTGCGTTGTTCTGTGCCAGTTTCGCAAGAAATTTTGGATGCAGCATGTAGTTGAGCCCGAATCAGTTTGCATCAAATGAAGCCTAAATAGGTATTCAGTAGTATCTAAAAAAAAATATTCAAATGGGACATATTTTTTCTTACAAATGATTCTTGTTTCTTCATGTTTGTCTTATCAATGAATGTTGTGTGGTTGGAAGTTTGATTGATTGAAATGATATAAATAAAAAGATGCATATATATTGATATCCAACCTGGTAATATTGTTGTTATTGTTATGATAATATTACGTTTAGAAAGCCATGCTTGTCTTCTCATAAATAATTGCATGCATCAAGAAACTGTGCATCAGAACATTTAATTTTAATAATGCATGTCCTGTGTGTTTAAAATATTTCATTGCGTTTCGTTTCTTCCTAACGTTTTGCTTTTTCCATATTTCATTTTTTCATTATCTCTCATGTCTTAAGTAGTTTGTTGTCTATCGTGTCTTCACTAGATATTGTCGTGTTTCCTTACTACATAAACTCACTAGATATTATCGTGTTTCCTACCTACATAAACAATCGTTTCTTCATCAATCTATATCTGCCCATAGTATATTTTTCTTTTGTTTCTTTATCAATAGATCTTTTGTATTCAAAATTGAAAACTCAAATAATGAAGCCTATGACACTGTATTTTATAATATTAAAAATAATAACAATTGTGATATAGAGAAAAACTTTTTTTATTAAAAAGGACGGATACGACCAATATCAACACTGCAAAACCACTTTTAGGAGAAAAACGACACGAGAAAACGATTACCATTCATATGTCTGCTATAAAAATGTTTAAGACACTGGCGTCATATATGAAAGCATGTTATTGTTTTCTTTTATTGACAAATTTAAATCATGTCATCCTTTTTGGTGCTTACATTTCTAGCTATTTTGCACAATTTGATGATTCATATAATGTCATTTTGACATCAGAATGTAGTTGAATAACTTTCGTTTTACCTTTAGAACATATCAATGTTGAATCAGCTTCTTGAAAATTTGCTGAACTGAACATCGAGTCATATCAATATACATGCCAAAAAGAACGGGAAACTTTTAAAATTGTTCATTGAAAATGGTTATCGTTATAGATGGTTAATTGAAATAGCACAAAATGATTATCGTTATAAATAGTTAACTGAAACAGCACAAAATGGTAACAGTGGTAGACAGTTAATTGAAATAGCACAAAATGGTAACAGTGGTAGACAGTTAATTAAAATAGCACAAAACAGCCATAGTGAAAGATAGTTAAGTGAAATAGCACAAAACAGTCATAGTGAAAGATAGTTAATTAAAATAGCACAAAATGGTAACAGTGGTAGACAGTTAATTAAAATAGCACAAAACAGTCATAGTGAAAGATAGTTAATTGAAATAGCACAAAATGGTTATCGTGAAAAATAAAAATGACATTATAGTTTGCGTTCTATCGAAAGAAACTCTCCCATTAGTATCGCACGTCATGTAATAGCTAAACAATATACAGAATAAAAAGTAAACACAAAATAAAAGCATACGCTGATCGCAGTTCCGCACCTTATATACTATTGTATTGGTAGAACGCAGTTATGTTCATCCATCTCCGCACTTGATCTCTTACGCCACTGACTCTGCAAACAACGTCTTTGTCGAGAACAAGCAATTGTCATTGATTCATAGTCTTACATCTAGAAATAGAAAATTGTGCCCTGTTTTTACAAAATTAATGAAGCAAAAATGTTATCATTATTTAATATATTACTTTTTTAATGTTGCATTTGAATCATTCAATAGTTTTATCCAATTTTAACCTAGTATCTAGTCTTTGTAGCATTTGATGAATCAAAACTTTTATTGCAAGATTCTGTCATTCATTAATTGCGTAAGAGGCATTTTGAGATCAGGCCAGTGCATCATAGATTTCATATGAACATCTCTTCAACAGTAACAAATATTTCTTAAAAAATACATGTTTTTTTTCATTTTAATATAACTATCTTTTTCATATGTCATTAATGTCACGTTGATTAAGTGTCCACATCAGAAATATCTTAGACAACATTTCTTGATGCGTATAATCGTAATTCCTCCGTCAATGCTATCAACATGTATGTTAGAGTTAGTGCCAGCGACGACAGCAAATTAATACTTCATTACCGATAGTGCTTGTATACTTCATTAACGATCATACATGCATAATCTATCAACGAAATTACATTTACACATGAATCAAGAATAGTACATGTATATTTCCCTCAATATCACAGTACATCATCAACATATCTACTTCATCAATGATATTAAAAGTAAACTTCCATTCACGATAGTAAATATATACCTCCATCAATTATAGAACATATATACCTCCATCAACGATAGAACATATATACCTCCATCAACGATAGTACATATATACCTCCATCAATGATAGTACATATATACCTCCATCAACGATAGAGTATATATATACTTCCATCAATGATAGACCATATATACCTCCATCAACGATAGCACATATATACCTCCATCAATGATAGTACATATATACCTCCATCAATGATAGTACATATATACTTCCATCAACGATAGTACATATATACCTCCATCAACGATAGTACATATATACTTCCATCACTGATAGACCATATATACCTCCATCAACGATAGAACATATATACCTCCATCAACGATAGTACATATATACTTCCATCAATGATAGACCATATATACTTCCATCAATGATAGACCATATATACCTCCATCAATGATAGTACACATATACCTCCATCAACGATAGTACATATAACTCTGTCAATGATAGTACATATAAATTTCCATCAATGATAGTACACATATACCTCCATCAATGATAGTACAGATGTACTTCCATCAATGATAGTACATATATACCTACATCAATTTTAGTACATATATACCTCCATCAATGATAGTACATATATACTTCCATCAATTATAGCACATATATACCTCCATCAATGATAGTACATATATACCTCCATCAATGATAGTACATATAAACCTCCATCAATGATAGACCAAATATACCTCCATCAATGATAGTACATATATACTTCCATCAATGATAGTACACATATACCTCCATTAATGATAGTACATATATACCTCCATCAATGATAGTACATATATACCTCCATCAATGATAGACCATATATACCTCCATCAATGATAGTACATATATACCTCCATCAATGGAGGTATATGTGTACTATCATTGATGGAGGCGTATATGTACTATCATTAATGGAGGAATATGTGTACTATCATTGATGGAATTATATGTATACCATCATTGATGGAGGTGTATATTTACTATCATTGATGGAGGTTTATATGTACTATCATTGTTGGAGGTGTATATGTACTATCATTAATGGAGGAATATGTGTACTATCATTGATGGAGGTGTATATTTACTATCATTGATGGAGGCGTATATGTACTATCATTAATGGAGGTATATGTTTACTATCATTGATGGAGGTTTATATGTATTATCATTGATGGAGGTATGTATGTACTATCATTGATAGACCATATATACCTCCATCAACGATAGAGTATATATATACTTCAATCAATGATAGTTCATACATACATCCATCAACGATAGAGTATATATATACCTCCATGAATGGTAGAACATAATTATATACTTCAATCAACGATAGGACAGAGAGAGGTTCCCAAACGAGTGATGGATGGATATCATGTTCTTCTAACTCGAGTTAGTTTAAACTGTATAAAGACACGAGGTTAAACGAGCGTTAAATAAACGGGATAAATAATTATCACGAATTTTGGGACCTGTTTCTCCCGTCACATTCGTATTTTATCTGAAAACTCACATTTTTTCCCTTGGGAAATACATCATGTTTGTTTCGGATTGGGGAATCAATTGTCATAGAACATGACGTCACAATGGAAAAAGACGTCGAAAAGCATTGTAACGTCATCATAAATCACAGATTGACCAATTAAGTCAGATCCAGGGTATTACCCACTAATGTTAACCAACTCCTAGCAGGTTTATCCAATAAGTCATGAGTGAGGAAACCTATACTGCCATCAATACCAGGAACTATAGTACATATATACTGCTATCAATGCCTGGAACTATATTAAAGATATACTGCCATCAATACCAGGAACTATAGTACAGATATACTGCCATCAATACCAAGAACTATAGTACAGATATACTGCCATCAATACCAGGAACTATAGTACAGATATACTGCCATCAATACCAGGAAATATAGAACAGATATACTGCCATCAATACCAGGAACTATTGTACAGATATACTGCCATCAATACCAGGAACTTTAGTACAGATATACTGCCATCAATACCAGGAACTATTGTACAGATATACTGCCATTAATACCAGGAACTATTGTACATGTATACTAACAAAGCTTTATGTTTACGTTCCTCAAGTGTATCGCAAAAAACTCATGTATTAGATAAAACGTATCACAGATAAACAAGAACTATTCTTGTAAAAAGAAAACAATTTGATTCGATTTGAAAAAACAAAAATTAGAATACATATATATCTCTAAAAACTACATATTTTACGGTAAATTTTATGTGTAATTTTACAAGGCAACTCTCGGCCAAAGCGTCATATACCTTGAAAACAGAAGTATGTACAGAAACGAATTTTAACTAGTTTGAGTTTCAAAACCTTTATAAAGCATTCAAAATGCCAGTTTATTCATAAATATCCTTGTGAACACTATCTACATAGGCGTAGCGCGTACTGAATTTCGTTCCTGAATTTAAACTGTTCAAATCCTTAAAAGGTATGCGTCTACCATAAGTAAACGTTAGAATTGCATTAGAAACATTTCAAGGCAGTTTTTGCATAGTTTGGATGAGTGTTTAACTTATTTCAAAAGAACGAAAGATGATATGTAATGTTTACTTAAGGGAATCAGTACTGTTAANATATTGTAAACAGTCAAGGTGATTCTGCACAGGATAGGTTTGAGAAAGAATGGAGAAAATGGATAAAAATATTAGACTATGCGGAAGTGTAATTTAAATAATACCAAGGTAAAAACAGCTTTTAATATTTTTTCATGTTCTCCGTCTCTCCTCGATTCCTAGATAATTCTTCTTAATTAACTTATTTAAATCTTTTTTTTATTTTACTGGCCCAGATCTCTCTCTCTCTCTCTCTCTCTCTCTCTCTCTCTCTCTCTCTCTCTCCTAATTCTTTTAATATTTTCGGCCTAACGATGTTTCACATTACTGTACTTGCAAGAGCAGCAGTATTGTTAAAACCAAAATATATCAGTCTTTCTTTGTCTGACTCCGATGTGATGTCACACAATGTCCACCACATTACTCTCCTACACAGACAACCTGTCGAGTGACGAGGATGGTGGCCACGATGATGGCGAGGATGTTCATCATTCCGAAACAGGTGGGATGACCACTTCCATTTGAATTTAACTTGGTTTCGTCTTTGTTGCAATCAGATGTTTTACAACAGTACACGCTGGTACTCGTGGTACAGGTGCTATTAGCGCAACTCAAATCATAGCTTGTGCTCGTACTGTTTACCATTTTGTCAAGCTGTAGATGAACAAAAAGTAACTTAACAAACCAGTAATGATCTGAATATAAAACAACACAGTAATTGTCAAAAACAAAAACAAAAAAGAAGTGATCAGAAAATAAAAACAAAAAAGTAATGATATGAAGAAAACACAAATTAGTATTCATCTGAATATAAAATAAAACAGTAATGATCTGAATACAAAACAAGAACAGAAATGGTATGGAAAAAGAAAAAAAACATTTAGTACAATTGAAAGAAATAATCGGAAGTTCTGATATTGAGATAAACAAGTATATAGTTCAGTTTCAGCCTGAAGCTAAGCCAAAACCATCTTAAACTTGAACAAACTTTAAATCCCGATTATTGTCTTGCACATCACCATACGGAATGGCGATAAGTGCAATTTGTTGTAAGTACTAGTTAAACAGTTGTTTAATACATGTAAATAATACTTGGTGTAAAACAATAAGGATTTCTTATAGCTATTAAGATACTCCATGAATGGGACACTTCTGATAAGACTTTTTACAACCATTCGGCACCTATCTTCATTACATATAGTTTAATTTGTTTCTTTCTGTTTTCAGTTATTTAAGGTAATATGATCTCTCTTATAAAATGCACAGATCTATCTCATTCAAATTAAAAAAAATATTCCATACGAGTCTTTAGCTATCTCTTTCATTCGTAATTAAAGGTTATGTCTCACCAATATATGCTATGATTTGTTTTGTTTCGATATATTGTTAATTGTTCATTGTTTTACTTCAACACGTTTTCTTAATGTAAAAGTTCTTAAATATTGATAGCTTCGTAAGTCGCATACTGGGTATTAAACAAACTTTCATATAACTTAACAAACTAGATCAATATTTCTGTGGTTTCTAAATCTCGGTATGTCAACTTACCTTGCAATACATTGTGGTGTTGCATTTGCCGCTAATGTTGTTGAGACAAGATGCACCATCGCAGCTTCCCGTGTAGCAGGTCTGCAAAAACATCAAATAACAAGTTTATAATACATAAAATAACAGGTCTACAACACGTCATATAACAGGTCTACAAACACATCATATAACAGGTCTACAAACACATCATATAACACGTCTACACCACGTCATATAACAGGTCTACAAACACATCATATAACAGGTCTACAAACACATAATATAACAGGTCTACAAACACAGCATATAACAAGTCTACAATACATCATATAACAGGTCTACAAACACATCATATAACAGGTCTACAATACATCATATAACAGGTTTACAACACGTCATTTAACAGGTCTACAAACACGTCATATAACAGGTCTACAACACGTCATATAACAGGTTTACAACACGTCATATCACAGGTCTACAAACACATGATATAACAGGTGTACAGCATTACAGTTACTACTGTTAGTATATATGAACTTATTAAATTGACATCGCGACTGCTGGTATTTTTAATACATATAGCGTTACACTAAATACTCATATTATGTTGTATTCATAACGCCACATTAACTATTTTAATAATTCTCATAGTATCTAATACTTAAAGCGTTACAGCTTTTATCAGAGTGTAATGCTTATAACGCCATTTTAGCTATTAGTAGCATGTAATACTCATAACGCCATTTTAGCTATTAGCAGCATGTAATACTCATAACGCCATTTTAGCCATTAGAAGTATGTAATACTCATAACGCCATTTTAGCCATTAGAAGTATGTAATACATAAAACGTCACAGTAACGACTCGTAGTATGTAATACTTATAACGCCATATAGATTGTACTGTTATAATATGATAATTAAAACGTCACTAGCAGCTACTAGTAATATGTAATAAGTACAGACCCACAGTGATACTTACAGTGTACGAAGCCATGGTGGTGGCTGCTGCTGTCGTGGTAGCTATAATAACGAACAAGTGAAAAATGCATATTACATCATTCAGTTATATTTGTTTTACATTTGCTTTCTTTTCCAGCGATCTGGTATATGTGTCTGACAGATTGATTTATTAGAAAAGTGTTCGAGCGATGCAAATCCTTCAGTAACTGCCATAGATAACTCTCGTCAGTCGTTATTGATACATAAAAGCCCGGGGAGGTGGGCTGGTGACAACACATTGATATACATGTCTACAGGTAAAGCGTGGAAGGTATTTATTTAACAATTTCTGATTTGTATTCTATGAATAAACATATATCATAATGATACGAGACAGAGAGGAATCATAATTACATAAAATTCTGAGACATTATTTTGACCTGAAAAGAAGTATTCTTTCCCATCAAATATTTAAAGATAATTTGTGCGGTTTTATTTACCTGTTTCTGTTAATAATAAGACTTTATTTGTTTTCAATACTTTACCTGTATTACAATCAAACAAAGTAGTATCGCAACAAAAAATGTGTACCGTCTGTAATCTTCAGTTCAATTCCAAGAACAGCATAATCATATATACAATTCTAATGTAACATACAGAAAATTAATAAAAAATATTAATGCTGAAAGTGATTCTATTTAAATAGCAATGAAAATTAAAGTATCGACCCGTCAAATGATTGAATTAACATAACTACCGACCAATCCTTTTTACAACACGTGATTTGCCAATACCACAATACATATATCTGAAGGTTCTAAACAACAAAGTTTGCGAAACCTATTGATAATAAACGTGGAGCAATGACATTTCAAGTGACTGCACACCTAATACAGGAAAACAAAACAACAATTTATATATGTATTGCTCAAGATTTCAACATACAAATTATTTGAGTAATCGTTATCAACAGACTTCTCTAGAAATAACAAATAGTATCATACAGGTTTATCAAAAAAAAAAAAAAATCTTATCATTGTTAAAACAAATTGAACAGACTAGACATGAATATTGTCAAAGATAAATTTTTTGATATTAAGATCATATCGATATATATGTATCTCGCTAAGTTTTTGTTACGTTTCACAGTTTCACATATTTTTCTCATAATTTTATTCGGGAAGTTAAAGATGCAGTTTTAGCAACAAAGTAAGATTTTCCTGACAGAGACAAGTATCAGTATGTTTATCAGTTGTTAACTAAGCGTGGTGTTACACACTTCTATGGAAACGAGATTAATGTTGACCACGTTACCTCTATAGTAACATCGTCTAGTTCGGGTGTGATTGTTCACGATTCAAATTAATTTCATATAACATGTACCCGATGGTATTATCATTATTATTATTATTATTATTATATATATACTGCACATTGCAAACACCATGAACCCAATTATAAAAAACATGAAGCATCATACATGCATGCGATCTTGTGGACATCATAATGGCATGCACGTTATCTTATGATGACGACAGTTATCATCACAATTTGTACAACGAATGAAAGACCTAAGAAGGCCTTGTCATGAAAACATATGGATTTCGATTTTTTTAACGAAATTACAAACGCAATAAAACAAAAGAGTTCATTCAGCATGAACTCGTCATTCTATTAACTACCTTATTGCTGATTCTATAATCATCTTCTCATACCTGTGAGAAACTTTACACTGCCAATTTTGTGATCAACCGTTATTTGTCGACATTAACGTGGAATCAAATTTTCTGTAAGCTGTACGAAATAAATTCATCCAATTACTGCTGCTGGATGCCTTATATGGACATAGTAGTCAGAGTTGTTTTGGAGATGAGCAGTATATACGCTCCCACTGGATTATTTACCTGGTCAGTTTGAGGAGAGAACACTGACTACTTTGACAGAGAGACATCATTCATTGTGAATTTTTCAAAGTGCTATCTTACTCTAGGTGAATCATCACATTGATAAAGTTCAAGGAATCAAATACAGATTTGTGCTAAATCTATTATATGTTTACATGTGCACAATCCGGGTCGATAATGTATACACACACACACACATGCAGGGTAAAAACGTTCAATATAGCAGAGTACTTTAAATAATAATAATGAGAAAAATATACAAACCTAGCGAAATTATAAATTACGAAGGTAATAGTGGAAAAGAGCAAATTCATTAATTGTCGGTAAGGATACACACAAAGATAGATTTACAAGTAAATATTCAAATAGTAATTTTAATAATGTAGTCCTTCAACTGTGCATGATGATAACAATCATACCTTACGATGTTGGTGTATTTCAGTGTAATATGCTGTCGCGTATGGTGCATGTCATTTTGTCGTACTGCACGATTAAAGAGTATTTCATTGTAATGTACTGTATTGTTATCACGTATGCCATTGTACAATATGCATCCTATTGTATTTGACTATTATTATATGCATGAATCATTGTAAATTTGTAAAATATACTGTATAATTTGTATGGCATTGTATGTTTACTCTCCGATGTGTCTTACACAAGGAATAAAACAATCTGAATCTGAACAATTTAAGCATTCACTTAAAACATGTGTCAACAGGAAATATTTCATGCAAGTTCCAGCGTCCACTCATAGACTGAAGAGAGGAAGAGAAAAGTGAAGGTTTCGGTACAACAGAAAAAATTAATACAAACCCACAATAATGTGTAAGGGTAGGTAAGACAGGTAAAGGATAGAACGGATAACATACTATAGTAGGCTGGGATTGGCCTCTCACTTACTGGAGTCCGTGGTGCTGCCGGCTGACACAGAGGATTGGGTCGAGCCTGAATCTGTTGTACTTGATGCGCTTGCTTCATGTTTACAGGGGGGAAAAGACGTGTATTGTAAGGCATTTAGAAAAAAATTGCAAAGGAAAGTATGGGAGAACGCAATAAACGGGTGCAACTGAGACATCAGCTGGTTACATACATGTATGTAAGGTATTTACATGTATTTCCTTCAATTGTTTTAAAATGCATACTGCATTTCTGCTAAGCAATGCTCTTCATTACCCCGCTCTTATGTGTCAATGGTTGACAAACGTCGACGGAAAATGTTACCATAGTGAACGATGGCGCAGTGTTTTGAGCCGATTCCTGTTTCCTTTGATCGGTTTGACCGATGGATAACAATGGCTGAGTTCCACAGTCAAAACGAGTTCTAGTTACGTGAGGCTACCTGACGTGTAACCATAGTTTTTCTAACTCTGTCAATATATATACATAAACATATAAAGAGGTATCGTACGCTACAATGTACGGGATTTAATCGTTAAGTTATATGACAAAGGAAAATCATTTGTTTACAAACACTGGGCTGATAGTAACATAATAACAATCGATGATATTATTAATAGACACGGGAAAATAGACGAACAAAACATATTGAATAAATTACAAGATACTAGAAATTGGATAAGTGAAATAAACACTTTAAAAAATGCAATACCAAAAACGTGGTTAGATTTATTAAAAACAAATGAATCAAGATGCACACAAGTAAAATGTAGCAAAGGGTTTCTAACATATGATGGAAAACAGTATAAACAGATAGAAACTATTAATAATACATTTTTGTACAATGCGTTTATAGCAAAAAAGTGTATAAAAACGCACTCCATTGAAAAGTGGAAGAGAGTGCTGAACATAGCAGGATCACAACTTTTTAATGATTTGACTCAATTTATATTTTATAATCTGAAAGATAACCGTCATAAAATGTATAGATGGAAACTCTTTCAAAACATATTACCAAATAAAGTACTGCTAAATCAGTGGAAAATCGAGGATAATAATTTATGTAACATTTGTAATGTCACAGAGGATTATAGACATTACTTTATTGAATGTGACTATTTGAGTATATATTGGGCAAGAATAACAAAACTATTTAAAGGTGTTGGATATACAGTAAATATGCAAAATCTAAAATACATTGTAGTTGGTTACAAAATTAATTG